TATTTTTACTGTTATTATATTCTTCTTCTTCTTCTTCTTTTATACAGAGATTCACACACGACAAAACAGACACACAGGCACGACAGCGAGAAAGATAGAAAGAGCGAAAGGATGGTACGTAGGCTGAAGAGAGAGAGAGAGAGAGTAGCAGGAGTAGTCTGTGTGGTTCGTAATTTAGGTGTTGTCTTGTCTCGACGCAGCTGTTGGACTATTAATTAACAAACACCTTTACCCTCACATGCTAAATATACCTAACAGATGAGCCGGGGGATAGTGGGGGTAGGGAGGGAAGAGGAGGATAGATTATGTAGAGATGGGAGGTGGGTTATGGTTTGGGGAGAAAGGAGATTAATTATGTAGAGGAGGTGGTTTGATTACGTAAGGGGGAGCAGTTAAGGTGGTGGGGAAGGATGTGGGAATGGTGGGGGTTAGATTGATTTTTTTTAGAGGAGGAGTTAGTCTACAGGGTGGGGAGGAAGGGAGTTTAATTATGTAGGAAGGGAAGTTAACAGGATGGGGAGGAAAGAGATGGATTGGGGTGATGGTGGGTGTTAGAGGGGAGGGTAGAGAGATATTATGTAGGCTGGGGAGATATATTATGTAGGGAGGAGGAGGAGACACGGTGATGTAGGGGGTGGAATGATATATTAAATAGGAGGAAGATGTACTGGGGAGGTCTATTAAACCAAGGAGGAAGGATAGATTATGTAAGGAGGAGCAAATGTGGGGGGAGGAAGATATGTTGGGGGAGGGAGGTAGATATATTGTGTAGTGTAAAATTAATTTTAGGGGAGAGGAGATTAGGTTGGAGTTAATGAGTTTGAGATGGGTTAAGTTAAGGAAAGTTAGGGTGAATTAAGGGAGGTGGGGTGAAGTTGGGGGAGGTGGGGTGAAGTTAGGGAGGTGGGGTGAAGTTTGGGGAGGTGGGGTGAAGTTGGGGAGGTGGGGTGAGAGTTAGAGGTAGGGTGAAGTTGGGGAGGTGGGGTGAAGTTGGGGGAGGTGGGGTGAAGTTGGGGAGGTGGGGGTGAAGTTAGAGGTGGGATAAGTTAGGAGGTGGGGTGAGGTTAGGATGGGGTGAAGTTAGGGATGGTGGGGTAAGTTGGGGAGGTGGGGTGAGTTAGGGAGGTGGGGTGAAGTTGGGAGGTGGGGTGAAGTTAGGTGAGGTGAATGACGTAGGAAGTGGTGAGATGTGTATGTATATGTATGTGCATTTGTGTGTGTGTGTGTGTGTGTACATCTAGTCGTTCCGTAATACACAGCTATGTACACCTATTATGTACACACACCTCTGCCTCGAGTCTTGATGTACACATACAGTTGTACATTATTAATACTAAAATGATACACCTGTAAAATATTTACTCTAACTCCCTACTCTCGTGTGTGTGTCCTCCTCTCTTCTCCTCACCCCTCTCTCCCCCCTCACCCCCCTCAAATCTCCTCCATCCCCTTCTACTCTCCCTCCAACCCCTCTACTCTCCCTCATCCCTCTACTCTCCCTCATCCCCTTCCATTCTCCCTCATCCCTCTTCATTCTCCCTCACCCCCCTCCACTCTCCCTCATCCCCTTCCATTCTCCCTCATCCCTCTTCATTCTCCTCACCCCTCTACTCTCCTCATCCCCCTCTACTCTCCCTCATCCCTCTTCATTCTCCCTCACCCCCCTCCCAACTCTCCTCATCCCCTTCTACTCTTCCTCACACCCCTCTACTCTCCCCTCACCCCCTCAAATCTCCCTCATCCCTCTTCATTCTCCCTCACCCCTCTACTCTCTCATCCCCCCTCTACTCTCCCTCATCCCCTTCCATTCTCCCTCATCCCTCTTCATTCTCCCTCATCCCTCTTCATTCTCCCTCACCCCCTCCCTCTCCCTCATCCCCTTCCATTCTCCCTCATCCCTCTTCATTCTCCCTCATCCTCCCTCCTATTCTCCCTCATCCCTCCTCTACTCTCCCTCACCCCCTTCATTCTCCCTCATCCCCCTCTCTCCCTCACCCCCTTCATTCTCCCTCATCCCCTTCCTCTACCTCATTCCTCCACCCTTCCACTATCACCCCCCCACTCTCTCCCCTCCCCCTCATCCCCCTCCCCTCCCCCTTCCCCTCCCCTCCCCAGCCTCCCCCCAGGCTGTTCCCACCAGTCTGTTTTATACTATCTTCATATTGTAGTTTGTAAACTAAGATGGTGGGGGGAGAATGCTTCTCCCACCCCTCATCACTTCTCCTCCCCTCCTTTAACACCTCACCCTCCCTTTAACACTTCCCCTTACCATTACACCTCTCTTCTTCCTCTTCCCCTTTACTCTCTGACCCTTTACTCCTCCTTTCACCACTTTCCTTCTTCTCCCCTTCACTTCTCTCCCCTTACTCCCTTTCTCCTTACCTCTCCCTCCTCCATCTCTTCCTCCTCTTTCCCTTCTGTCTGTCTTTTCTTTTCTCCTTAGTTCCTTTTCCTCCTTTTTTACTTTCTCTCCCCCCCTCTCCCTTCCCTACTCCCTTCCCTCTCCCTTCCACTCCTTCCCTTACTCCCTTCCCCTCCCTTCCCTACTCCTTCCCCCTCCTTCCCTCCTTCCCACTCCTTCCCTTACTCCCCTCCCTACTCCTTCCCTTACTCCCTTCCCCACCTCCTTCCTTACTCCTTCCTCTCCTTCCTACTCCCTTCCCTTTCTCCTTTCCGCCTCCCTTCCCTTACTCCTTCCCCTCCCTTCTATACTCCTCCCTTACTCCTTCCAATTCTCCTTCCCTTACTCCTTCCACTTACTCCTTCCCTTACTCCTCCCCCTCCTTCCTTCCCTTCCCCCTCCCTTAATTCTCCTTCCCTTCCTCCTTCCCACTCTCCTCCTTTACCCTGTCCATCCCATGAGTTTACGTGGCAGACAGCGTGGGTGGTGGGGAGATGTGGGGAGTGGGAGGAGTAGTGGGGGGAGGGAGGGAAGGGAGTTATACCTCATTCAGGTAACAGCCAAATATCCTCTCGACTTGTCTCCCCACTTCCCTCTTCTCTCTCTCTCTCTCTCTCTCTCTCTCTCTCTCTCTCTCTCTCTCTCTCTCTCTCTCTCTCTCTCCTCCCTCCCTCCCTTCATCCTTCTTCCTCCCTTCTTCCTCCTCCACCCTCCCTCTCTCCCTTCCTCCTCCCTCCCTCCCTCCTCCCTCCTCCTCCCCCTCCCTCCTTCCCTCCTCCCTCCCTCCCCCCACCCCTCTCCCTTTCCCTCCATCACCCTCTCTATCTCTCCCTCTCCCTCCTCCCCTCCCTCTCCCATCATCCTCCCTACCTCTCCTTGCTACCGTCAACCTCACCCACCCTACCCACCCACCACCCACCCCACCCTCATTGCAGCATCTTGCACGCTCATATAATGCAACAAATATACTGCCTGGGCGGACCTCACAAACACCTGACTACTGACACCACTGAACTCATTACTCCTTCATATGCCACTAACTGTAATATGTCACTAACTGTAATATGCCACTAACTGCACCAGTATAATACACACTTTATATTTTTAGCCATTATTTTTTATTTTCTTATTTCTTGTATATTATTTTTTAATTTATTTTGGAAGTGTAAATGAATTTCATCTTGGTTTGCTTTATAGTGTTTGGGGGGAGGGAAGAGGGAAAGGTGAGGGGAAATGTTGGTTTCTGAAGAGGTGTGTGTGTGTGTGTGTGTGTGTGTGTGTGTGTGTGTGTGTGTGTGTGTGTGTGTGTGTGTGTGTGTGTGTGTGTGTGTGTGTGTGTGTAATAATAATAATAAATAATAATAATAATTAACGGTTTATTGAAAAAGTTCTGCAGCCCGAAGGCTGAAAAATATACATTGGACATAAATGATTATACCACATACATTGGTGGTCTAACAAAGCCTTCATTAGAAAGAGAAAGGAACATACAGTGAACATACAGATTAATGGGTGTTGAACAGCAAAACGTAGTGTAGTAACTCCCTCCCAGATGGTATTGGAGGGACCTCACGTGGTGTAGTAGTTCCCTCACAGATGGTGTTATGAGGGCCTCACGTGGTGTAGTAATTCCCTCACAGATGGTGTTATGAGGGCCTCACGTGGTGTAGTAATTCCTCACAGATGGTGTTATGAGGGCCTCACGTGGTGTAGTAATTCCCTCACAATGGTGTTATGAGGGCCTCACGTGGTGTAGTAATTCCCTCACAGATGGCGTTATATGAGTGAGGTGGTTCACGCTTCTATCGTAGACGGATTAACATCGCTGTTAGTTAGTCTCACGGGCCGTTATCACTGGGTACCTGGGACCTCACTGTGTGGTCAACTTGGGTACCACTGTTACTGTTGAGTTGTTCTCCTGACTTAAGCACTGTTCACCACTGTTCACCACTGTTTAACACTGGTTCCATTTCTTTCTAAATGAAATAGTAACTTCTGGCGTGAACTTGTTGATATTCAGTGGGGAGGAGGGTTCAGGAGGGGGAGTTGGGCTGGGCCAACATAACAGTTGACCTGGCACTCCGAGAGGAGCGCCAGGGAATTCGTCTTAACCCTTCGGTGGTCAAGGATGTAGTCCTTGTGTGTGTGTGTGTGTGTGTGTGTGTGTGTGTGATGTGTGTGTGTGTGTGTGTGTGTGTGTGTGTGTGTGTGTGTGTGTGCGTGTGTGTGTGTACAAATATGGCAGCCTCCCTAACCCTCAATTAACCCAAATTTACTTACCTCACCTCCCTACCCCTCCCTATCCTCCCTTCCCCCCTCCTCCTCCCCCACCCTCACTTAACCTAATCATTTCACTCACACACACACACACACATCAAAACTCAAACAATTACCCCGATAATATGTGATTCTCAATATGCAAATCATAGCTACTGTACCATAGATTACCCCAGTGTCAGATACCCAGTGTCAGATATTCGCAGTGTCAGATATACCCAGTGTTGATATACCCAGTGTCAGATATATCAGTGTCAGATATACCCAGTGTCAGACATACCCAGTGTCAGATATACCCAGTGTCAGATATACCCACTGTCAGATATACCCCACTGTCAGATATACTCAGTGTCAGATATACCTACTGTCAGATATACCCACTGTCAGATATACCCAGTGTCGAATATACCAGTGTCAAGATATCCAGTGTCAGATATACCAGTGTCAGATATACAGTGTCAGATTACGCCGGTGTCAGATATACCCAGCGTCAGATATACGCCAGCGTCAGATATACCAGTGTCAGATATACCCAGTGTCAGATATACCCAGTGTCAGATATACCCAGTGTCAGATATACCCAGTGTCAGATATACAGTGTCAGATATACCCAGTGTCAGATATACCAGTGTCAGACATACCCAGTGTCAGATATACCCAGTGTCAGATATACCCAGTGTCAGATATACCCAGTGTCAGATATACCCAGTGTCAGCTACCCAGTGTCCTATACCCAGTGTCAGATATACCCACTGTCAGACATCCCAGTGTCAGTTATGCCCAGTGTCAGATATACCCGCGTCAGAATATACCAGTGTCAGCTATACCCAGTGTCAGATATACCCAGTGTCAGATATACCCACTGTCAGATATACCCACTGTCAGATATACCCAGTGTCAGATATACCCAATGGTTGAATATACTTGATGCCAGATATAACCAAATCACTATAGCGTATATACCAATTTATTAATCTGTATGTCGACTTAATACGTGCACATAATTATACCGTATCCTGTTTAATAATGATAATGATAATTAATTCTTTGTTCAGGTGAGATTAATATTCTGTAAAAAATATTCGGGAAAAATATTCTGTAAAAAATATTCGGGAAAAATATTCTGTAAAAAATATTCGGGAAAAATATTCTGTAAAAAATATTCGGGAAAAATATTCTGTAAATAAATATGTAAAAAATATTCTGTAAAAATAATATAGGGTGTTTTGGCTGTTGTCTTTAATTATGTTAGGTTTTGTAAGGTCATGCTAGTGAAGGTCAGGTCAGGTCAGGTCAGGTCAGGTCAGGTCAGGTCAGGTCAGGTCAGGTTAGGTTAGGTTAGGTTAGGTTAGGTTATAATATATTAAGTTAGGTAAGGTTATATTAATTTAGGTTAGGTTAGGTTTAGTCAGGTTAAGTTAAGTTAAATTAGCTTAGGTTAAGTTAGGATAGTCTGAAACGATCTCACACAAAATCCAGTTGGCCACTACAATCCTCACCACACAGTCTAATTGGTCAGAAATTCTCCCATCATCTGCCATTGGTCACTCCGAAACTCCCCCCCCAGATTGGTCATTAGTCATAAGTAATTTCAATTTAATTAAAGGTCCCTGGCCATAACATGAATCTATTTGTAATATTGAAATCACAAGACGACATAATTACAATGGGTTATTTTTTGGGGGGGAGGTTTGAATTGATACTTAGATTCGTGATGTAATTATGGGTAAGTGCCACTAATTATAATGACGATCTAAAGTAAATTTATATAAGTTAATGATTACAGACGTCTTAAGTGTGTTTTTTTTATATAAGTAGAGAGTTGGATTAGATTTGTTTTGTGTTTTGTAAGTGTAAAGTTATATGATTAGTTAAGTAAGTAATTGTCCATGTACGTACAGTTGTGTGTGTGTGTGTGTGTGTGTGTGTCTCTGTCTGTCTGTCTGTCTGTCGTCCTCACCGCCCCCCCTCCTTCCCCCTCACCATCGTAAGTCGTGGCGTGGATCAGGGAGGAAAGCGGTGTCGATTTTTCCCTACAGAGTACCACGGTTCGATCCCCCTTAGAATTCTTAGTTTAATTAAGTTTATTTTTCTTCTCTCGTCCTGTGGCAGTTTCTCAGTCCCGAGCTGATGTTTTACGTGCCAGCATAGTTACGGGGCAGTGAGGGACAGTGAGAGAGGGGTGGTGAGGGGTAGGGAGAGGGGTGGTGAGGGTGGTGAGGATGGGAGTAAGGAGGTGAGGGAAGAGGGGTGAAGGGAGGGAAGAGGGTGAGGGAGGGAGAGGGGTGATAAGGGGAGAAAACAGGGGGTGATGGGGATAGGAGAGGATGAGAGGAGGGGCGATGGGGAGGGTGTTAATGAGGGGAGAAAGCAGTGGGTGATGGGGAGAGAAGTAAGGGGAAGACTGACCCATCCCGCGCAAGTGGGTGGTAGGGGGAAAGAGGTACCGTCCGTCCGTCCGTCCGTCCGTCCGTCCGTCCGTCCGTCCTTCCGTCCGTCCGTCCGTCCTTCTCCATGCGTCCTTTTGTCCGTCCCTCTGTCTATCTTTCTATGCTTCCATTCATCTCTCTTCCTGTCCTTTCATCCATCTCTCCCGTCCTTCCTTCCTTCCTTCCATCTCTCCCGTCCTTCCTTCCTTCCTTCCATCTCTCCCGTCCTTCCTTCCTTCCTTCCTCTCTCCCGTCCTTCCTTCCTTCCATCTCTCTCGTCCTTTTTCCTTCCTTCCATCTCTCCCGTCCTTCCTTCCTTCCTTCCATCTCTCTCTCTCGTCCTTCCTTCCTTCCTTCCTTCCTTCCATCCATCTCTCTCGTCCCCCCTCCTTCCTCCTCCCCCCCCCCCCACCCGTCCTTCCTTCCTTCCTTCCTACCGTCCACATCTTCTGAGGGCGACCCACATCTCGCTCCCTCAAAAAGACTGAAAAGTTAAAGGGAACAAAATAATGCAATTAACGTGGCCATTTGCGGCATTTTTAAGTATCATTAGTCAAGGGACACCCAGTAATAGTTGGTTAATGAAGGGGTGTAAAGAGGGGAGAGGAGGTGGGGGGAGGAGGGAGGGTAGGTGGGGGGAGGGGTAGGTGTGGGGGAGAGGGAGGGGTAAGTGGGGAGAGGGGAGGTGGGTTGAGGAGGAGGGTGGGTGGGGGGGAGGGTAGGTGGGAGGAGGGGGAGGGTAGGTGGGGAGAGGGGAGGGGTAGATGAGGGAGGAGAGGGTAGGTAGGGGAGGGAGGTGGGAGAGGGGGGGTAGGTGGGGAGAGGGGGAGGTGGGGGGGAGAGGGAGGGTGGATGGTGGAGCAGAGAGGGTGGGTGGTGGAGAGAGGGAGGCTAGTGGGGGGCGAAAGGGTAGGTGAAGGGGAAAGGGAGGTAGGTGGGGGAGAGGAGTGGAAACTGGGTGTATGGTGATGGGGGTATGGGAGGACTGGGGTAAGGGAGAGAGGCCAATAGGGTAATGGGAGATGAGAGGGTTGTTTGTTGAGGGAAGGGAGAAAGTGACATGAAAACCCCCATCCCTCTCTCCCCCTTCACCTTCCCATCCTTCACCCTTCCCTTCCTCTTCACCCTTCCCCATTCCCTTCTCCCCTCCCTCCTATCCTCCTCCCCCTCCTCCTCCCCTCTCCAAGGTCGATGGGCTGTGGTCAGTGTAAATTAAAGTGGGGGAGGAGGGGGAGAGAGGAAGGAGGGAAGGTGAGGAAGGGGGGGAGAAAGGTCTAATCTTCGTCACAACATTTAGTCCTGGTCAGGGGTTTAAGAGGGAGGGGGAGAGGAGGGAGGGAGAAGAGGAGGGAGGGGGAGAAGAGGAGGGGGATGATAAGGTCAGTATATGAAGATCTCTTTAAGTAGTCCTTTATGTATCATCATATCCTTTAATTTATGAAGTATCACCCATAGTTTTTCCTGTATCTTAATTTTCTGTATCACCCTTAGTTTTTCCTGTATCACCCTTAGTTTTCCTGTATCTCCTTAGTTTTCCTGTATCACCCTTAGTTTTCCTGTATCACCCTTAGTTTTCCTGTATCACCCTTAGTTTTCCTGTATCACCCTTAGTTTTCCTGTATCACCCTTAGTTTTCCTGTATCACCCTTAGTTTTCCTGTATCACCCTTAGTTTTCCTGTATCACCCTTAGTTTTCCTGTATCACCCTTAGTTTTCTGTCACCCTTAGTTTTCCTGTATACTTATAGTTTCCTGTATCACCCTGATTTTCTGTATCACCCTTAGTTTTCCTGTATCACCCTTAGTTTTCCTGTATCACCCTTAGTTTCTGTATCACCCTTAGTTTCCTGTATCACCCTTAGTTTTTTTTTTTCCTGTATCACCCTTAGTTTTCCTGTTTCTCCCTTAGTTTCTGTATCACCCTTAGTTTTCCTGTATCACCCTTAGTTTCTGTATCACCCTTAGTTTTCCTGTATCACCCTTAGTTTTTCCCTGTATCACCCTTAGTTTCCCTGTATCTCCTTAGTTTTCCTGTATACCCTTAGTTTTCCTGTATCACCCTTAGTTTTCCTGTATCTCCCTTAGTTTTCCTGTATCTCCCTTAGTTTTCCTGTATCACCCTTAGTTTTCCTGTCGCCCTTAGTTTTCTCTGTATCACCCTTAGTTTTCCTGTATCACCCTTAGTTTTTCCTGTATCAAACAAAAACTAAAACAAACAAAACCTAAAAAACAAACTAAAAAAAATCATTACTACTCCTAACGGCGAAAAGGAACTAAGAATAATAATTGAAATAACGTAACAAAAATACAATAACGGGAATTATAATGCAAACTAACAGAGAAGTAATGGGGCGTGGAGCAGTGACCACGAGACAGCTGGGAAATTTAACCTCTTAAGGCAGCTGGTGGATGTGTGTTCAGGTGAGCCACTAAGATGGTACAGGCAGGTGGTGGAGACGGTATTGATGACTTGTTAAGACCTGGAGCCAGATCTGGTGTCTAATTTAACCTCAACTTAACTAAATTTAACATGAACGTAAACTAAATTTCCGTAATATGATATAATCTTAGCCTCCGTAGCGTAATTTAACCTAACCTAACCAAACCAAAGCTAACTTGACCTGACCTAACATAGCCTACCCCCAGCCTAACCTAACCTAACCAAACCAAAGCTAACTTGACCTGACCTAACATAGCCTACCCCCAACTTAACCTACCCCCAACCTAACCTAACCAAAGCTAACAGCCTGACCTAACATAGCCTATCCCCAACCTAACCTAACCTATTTGGGACCCATTTCGACTGGGATGGAGTTAGGAGGAGGGTGAGGAGGGTGAGGAGGAGGGTGAGGAGGAGGTGAGGAGAGGAGGGCAGGAGGAGGGGGTGGGAGGAGGGTGAGGAGGAGGGAGTGGGGAGAGGAGGGAGTGAGGAGGGGAGGGGTGAGGAGGGAGGGTGGAGGGAGAGAATGAGGTGGGGAGGGTGAGGAGGAGGAGGTGAGGCAGTGAGAGGTAGATAGGAAGAGGTGTTGGGGATAGGAGAGAAAAGGAGGGAGGAGGAGGAGGAGGAGGAGGAGGAGGGTTGTTGTGAGGAAAAGTTGAGAGGGAAAGGTGAATAAAATTAATCGAGGCTTGAGCTAGGTCGGTAATTTCCCAGCAGAGGTGTTGCCTAGCGGAGTGGGGGTGGGGGGTAGGAGGAGATGGAGAATAACACCTGCAAACGCCCCCAACCCACCCACCCCACCCAACCCACCTCATTCCCCTTCACAAAAAAACATAAAATAATCAACAAATTATTTCTAGTATAGAGTTGATTCATGACTCGGTGGCTCTCTCTCTCTCTCTCTCTCTCCAGGTAACACAATTAATCGTGCCTCCTCACTCATAAATCTTAGTTTGAGATAATTAATGCAGACAGAAATATATGTGTTGGATTTTATTAATCTTGATATCTGTGTGTGTGTGTGTGTGTGTGTGTGTGTGTGTGTGTGTG